TGTAGATTTTGAATTTCAAAGCTCGGTGGGATTCCTCATCCCATGGATCGATGCATTTGGGTTTTTCGTGATCCCGAAGGGTCGGTTTTTGCCAGAATTGGTAGTCAAGTAGATGACTTTCTAATGGCAGGAAATCCCAAGAATAAGTTTTGGATTGCTTTGAGAGAAAAAAAAAGGGTATGTATCAATGGAGTCCTTGGAAAAAGGGTGATTTTGTGTATGCCGGATGCCGAATTCGCCAACTCACTTCCTACTCCATCCATGTCTCGCAAGAAGATTTTTGCAACTCTTTGTCTCCTGTGGCAATTCAATCAGACGGCTCTCGCAGTGACAAAGATCCGATGACTCCATCGGAAACTTTGCAAGCTGGAGCGCTTTTGGTGAAAGCGCAGTGGAGATCTTTGCAGAGTGCTCCTCAATACGCTGCTCGAATTGGCATAGCTTCTTCCACGTTGTCGGATGGGAAACTGGCAAACTTGAGAGAAGCAAACTCTATCATTCGGGATATGCGTAAGACTGCAAAGGAAGATCAGGTTTTTCACAATTTCAATTTTAGAAGAACGAACAGATTGAAATACACAGATCTTGTTTTCTTGCATTGGGGTGATGCTGGACACAACAACAGACCGACAGGTAGTTCGACCGGCGGTTTGTTTCTGGAATTTCTTCACCGGAAGTCTTGAAGGGCAATGAAACGCCTGTAACCTTGATTGATTGGAGATCCTGGAAACTCCGTCGTCCTGCCAGAGGGACGAACTGCTCAGAAGCTCAAGGAATTGCAGAAGCTAAAGACAAAGGCTGGAGAACTAGACTTATGTTTGCAATCCTGCACGGACACACCCTTCGACTTGGGAAAGCAGACACTCTGACTTCCATGTTCACGAGTCTATTAATTATGAACTCTCGCGGGTGCTATGACCTACTGGTGAGCAATGAATCTCTTGCCATGTCAATGTCAGACTCTAAGGCTGCAATAGACCTACTTCATGTCCAGAAAGGAATACAAGATGATATAAATTGTTTTGCTACGTGGGTGCCTTCAGACCTCAACCTAGCTAATTCTCTCACAAAACCTTCCATGGATGCATATAGAGAGATAAAACTGTTTTATACCAACAAAAGCTGGATAGTGAAGTTCAACGAAGAGTTCATTTCTGCTCGTAAGATGCAACGACTGCGAACACAAAAGAAAAAAAGAAGAGCAGAAACAAGGCCTGCATTTTGTAGATATGCCAGAAGTTTAAATAGATAATGCCTAGACCAACCTTTTTGCCACAATTTATCTAAGATAAGCGATCGCAGATATCTTCTCTTCAACTCCAAAAGCACTAAACCTGTACTAAGCTAAAAGGAGTTTCATTAATAATTCATGAATTGTATAAAGCCCGATTTTACCAACCTTAATACATCTCAGTGGTCTACGGACCCACAGGTGCGGGATATTCATATTCTCGTCCGCAGGGGCGCCTCTTGAGCTCAGACTTAGACGGAGTGTTAAAAGGGTGGCACGGACCGCCTAAGCCATGTTTTAATCCTCCTTGTTTGATTTCGTCTTTCCGCTTTCGCACGACGTTCGCAATCTACGCAACTTGGCGATTTAACACAAATTTTTAATTCCGAGCAATAATTCCTTTGTTTCGCAAAGTAAATTCAAAATAATCCTTATCAGCCTATTTTTCATAATTATTCGATCCAAACACATCAATATTTATTTCGCAAAACAAACTCAAAATATCCGCTAAAAAACTACCTTTCGTAATATTCGTATTTCAAGACTTTTTGTTATATGTAACCGAATTATTATTAAGGCATAACTTTTTAAAAATCAAGCCTCGTTCAAGTTCATCAAAAAAAAATCAATCATATCAATATTTTTCATTTCAAAAATAATCCTTATATCAATTATAAATCCTAACTTTAAAAAAAAGATAATTAACATATTAACGTGCATAATTCCGAAATATAAAACAAACATTTTTCATTTCAAAATATATACAAAATAAATCCATTTAAACAATTCAAAATTACCAATAATATAAGCGAAATTCAATTAACGACCAATATCCAAAAAAAATATAATATCAAAAATAAAAAGAAATAATTATCATATAATTTAAAATTAACATAACACTTAATAATTATCAATTTCATAAAATAATTAAAAAATACATTATATATCCAAACATATTATATTATTATAGCATTAATAATTTATAGCTTATATTGTAAAAAAACAATATATATAATATATAATAAGAAACCAGGATAAATTACGAGTTTCGGCATTTTTAACACGAGCTATAAACCTTTATCCCAACAAAAGAAATATATATCAATATCACCAACAAATTTAATGTCAATAAACACTTTTTAACATCCACCTCATTGTTAGAAAACACAAAGGAAAGAAAAGAGAACCAAGAAAAAAGAAACGAGAAAAACACACAAAAAGGAGAAGTAACAAGATGAAGAAGCAGAAGCAGAAGCAGAAGCAGAAGCAGAAGCAGAAGGAGGAGAAGAAGAAGGTGAAGAAGAAGGTGAAGAAGAAGGTGAAGAAGAAGGTGAAGAAGAAGATGAAGAAGGAGGCGGCAGAACAAGAAGGTAAAACAAAAAGAAGGTAGAACAAGAAGAAGGTGGAAAGAACAAGGTGGAACAAGAAGGTAGAACAAAAAAAGAAGCAAGATCAACAGGCAGGAAAAAAGCAGAAAGAAGAACCAAGTACTTTTTTGGTGCCATTACTTTCTATCAAGGCGATACGAACCACCTCTCCAATCTTTCGCATGTTTTTTCACATGTGATCAAACCCGCAACGTGCGCTGTCACTACATGCGCGCTATTACAGCCACCTGATGCAGCCAACCTAATAATGAGGCCGAAGTTCTCTGCAAAGTTGAAGTCTATTTCGGTTAAAAGAAACAGGTGTCTGAAGAGCCCGATGGCACCAAAAGCCAACGCAGAATCTTCTTTCCGGGGTCAGCCGCATCCAACAACAGCCCAAAAACACCACAAAGTAAACTAAAACACCACAAAGTAAACTTGTGATTTTCAAATCAACACGAAGAATTCGCGCTTTTCAGGTGGGTTTTCGCATCAATGAGCGACTTCAATTTGGCAATGCCTTTTTTTGGAAGCCTTTTGCTTCCCCTTTCATTTTCCCTTCTCCAAACTCTTAAGCATCTGATTCTCGACAGGCTGCCAAAAACGACAAGCGGGGATAAAGTGTAGTTGGTTGGGGGCCTCTCACAAGGCCATGAGACAAGAAACAAAAGCCAAAAGCCGGAAATACAAAAAGCAAACAACATTTCGCAAGTCAATACTTCCTCTAAGAAGCTTCATTTTGAAACATAACACCCCTCGCATTTTTTGTGAACACATTTGCGTGCTGGTGCGTGGCTCCTTGTCTGGCTTGTAGACTTGGCTGATACTTTGTGGCGACACTTGGCTGGTTTTTGTTTACGGTTTCCATGCGGTTTCTTTCTCCCGGTGCTTTGCTCGCCTTATTCCTTGTAGCCTTATAGCAATGACCTCCAACCCAATTGCGATGGCCTCCAACCAAATAGCGATGGCCTTGTTTTCAGTCTTCTTGAACGTCTGCCATAATTCACTCCGCCTGGGCTCTCCAACCTGACCGCAATAGCTTCAATTGCAGCCGGGTGAATGGATTGCTTTAGCTTCGCGTGGCACATGTGCTTGCCAAGCAACAACTTTGTCCATCAACGAAAGTGTTGACCTGGGTTGCAATGCTTGCCAATCCTAGCAAAACCTTGTCAAATGAATTGCACTCAAATGACACAAGGGATCTTGAATCGCCTACCTGTCTTGACATTACAGCTTGGCCTTGATTTGGAACCGGGCAGCAAACTTGGGCCTGCGTTTTGCCCGATCATGTTTTTCAATGGCCTCCACGAAACCTCTCACCGTCCTTCATACTCAAATGGCTCAAATGGTGCAACCTACTAGCGATGGCCTCCAAGTTAAGTTTCTAAAGATCTAGGAACCAAATCATTAATGCGAGCGCGCTATCCTGCGTCCAGTAGGCAGTAGCTCAAGCAGCTAGCAGTCTCTACTTGATCAAGTGGGGGGGGAGGAGCGAGCGGGGCCAAAAAGGCTCTTTCTCTCTCTCTCTCTCTCTCTGGGCCCCGAACTCTTGGGGCTCGATGCCGATGGAAATCATCGCAAGGAAGTACCGCTCAGCGAACTGGCAAGTGACGACCCCATTTCTGACACATTGCTCTGCCTCGTCCACATGATCCTTTTGGTCAATTCTGGCACGTTCAAGAGATTTGGGCGCCGAACCGTCTTAGTCTTGGAATCAAGGCTGTGCTGGCAAACCTGGGAGAGCCCGTGTTGCAATTGAATGCTGAAAGCAGACCCAAAACTGCAACAGGCAAAGAAAAGAATCACAGCTGTTCTGAAGAAGGAGCAACATAGAAAGAAATCTTCAAGATGGGAAGGAATCGAAGAATGTTTGACAAGGCATCCCCAAAAGCTCTAGCGGATGGAAGATATTCTTTCCGATGACTTTTGCTCCATTAACAAACCCAAATCCATGCCAGGATCGAGAAGGCTCGCGCAAGGGTTTTGTAGCAAATACATTATAGAAAAAGCTCAGAGAATGCATTCAAATCAGCAACCTGTTGATGCAAGCGCAAGTAAAGTTGAGGCTTTCTAGTGTTGCTGAGCTTTCCCATTTTCTACGAAGATCAGTGGCAGTTTTTAGATTTTTCTGCTTGCAAAGGAGGAGCAAGCAAAGCAAAGCAATGAAGCTTTGTTGTTACAGCTTAGAACCAGTTAAATACAAAGAAGGCCAGGGCCCTCTAAGCAGCCCTTACATTCTGTTTATAACCAAGAATTGGGCTTTCTTTATTTGTCATTTTGTTTCTGATTTTCTTCCAAAGTTTTGTCCTTTCTCAATATCTTGCGTTGGTGGAACGCTTCACAACAAACGACCCGCAAAAAGCAAATTGTGGTGCCCTAATGAAAGCACCTGAGGTCCCCACTTTGAAGATTAAGCTGTACGTGTCTTCCTTCGGCTGGATGCCTGCAAGAAACATACATCGCCAGAGTGGAAGCCATCGCAACTCTGTTTCCGTTGCGGCAGTCTTCTCTGCAGTGGGCCAGACTGGGTCCCAAATATTCGCCTTTGTCCGCCATCTCGTCGACAAGCTCAGCTATATGCCTCGGAACATGTAAACGAACATGTGCAAAAACACATCTTCCAAGAAACTGTCGCAAAAAGCCGAAGACATGGAACACGTTTCACCTGTAGTAACAAGAAACATTTTCAGGTCATTGAAACTTCATAGTAAAGCCTTCTAGCAAGGTGGAGGCCATGGCTAGTAACATAAAGCTTTCTAGCAACTAGAAGCTACCAGGTGGAGGCCATCCCTACTGGTAACCATAAAAGACTTTCTAGTAACTAGAAGCTTCTCGGTGGAGGCCATCGCTATTAGGTCGGAGGCCATCGCTGCTAGTAACCATAGAAGGCTTTCTAGTAACTAGAAGCTTCTCGGTGGAGGCCATCGATATTAAGTTGGAGGCCCTCGCTACTAGTGACAATGAAGCTTTCTAGCAACTAGAAGCTACCAGGTGGAGGCCATAGCTATTAGGTTGGAAGCCATCACTATTAGGTTGGAGGCCATCGCTACTGGTAACCATAAAAGACTACTAACTAGAAACTACTAGGTGGAGGCCATCGCTATTAGAATAGTAACCGTAAAGAGCTTTCTAGTAACTAGAAACTACTAGGTGGTGGCCATCGCTACTAGTAACAATAAAGCTTTCCAGTAACTAGAAGCTTCCTGGGGAATCTTTTTCTGTGGCAAAAGCCAAAAACATATGACTTTATATATTTTTTGCATCCCAAGTTACTCAAGGTCACCCGTCTCAGCGGCCAATTGCATGGCCACGTGGAAGTCCTCCCTGGCAAACAAATCGGAAGCCCATAGGCGGGCAGGCTGAGCATCCTTCTTATCCTTCAGCCTTCTTCCGTTGACGCTGTTAGCTTGGGCCTTGAACGCATCAAAGCCTTTTGTTGAAAACACCATTGCAAGCTATAGGACATCAACTGTTAAAACTCCCCACTCTGGGTCGCTGAAAATTTACTTGACAAACACATCGTAGGCCGCCCTGCAGGAACAACTGCCAATGGCTTTCTGAACTTCCAACAGGCATTTCCTAATAGAATCACCAAACCAACATGGTCAAGTGCGAGGGCTTCTTCACGGAGGTTCCCGCGGCGTCAGGCGGGGGGAGCTTCCTTGAAGAGGCGTGAACTGTCCGGCGTCTAGTTACTAGAAACTAACTTGTAGCTCGTATGATAGCTAAAGTATGGGCACCTACTTAATTAAGTGGGCATGGGGGAGTGGGCCTTGGTGAACGAAGCTTGCATTGGAGTCAGGTGAAACGCGGAAAAAACAGTCTATTAAAACAACATGAATCTGTCTAATTATTTGTTGTTTTCAGTTCTTTCTTCGCCAAGCGTTGCTGGAGATTCTTGGTTACTAATAGCTACTAACTGGTAGTCTATACTTCACCTCCTTCCTAAAGAGAACATCTATGCCTTGCTTTGTTTGGCGCTCTTCGACCGTGGAAGGCCTCTTTCCGATCAGCGACTTCGACACGGCTGCGATGCTGCGACCAGGCCACTTCGACTTCGAGGACGACGGCGAGTCGAGGACCTGAGCAGGATGAGATGGGACGAGCTCCGGTCTGGAGGCAATCATCGCTCTTAGGAGCAAGGACGGTACTAGGAGCAAAGGGCATCGCTACTAGGAGCAAGAAGCTATTAGGGGCCCCTGGCCTTACTACTAGGAGCAAGTGGCTATCACGAAATTAGAACTAAATTAAATTAGAATTAAATTAAATCAGAGTTAGATTAGAATTACTGTAAATTAAATTGGAATATAGATTAATTAGAATTAAATTGAATTAGAATTAAACTAACATCGAATTAAATTAGAATTTGAAAACAATAAATTAGAATAGAAGTAAACTAAATTGGAACTAAATTAGAATTAAGTTAGATTTAAATAACAGTAGAATTAAACTAAATTAGAATTAAACTAGAATTAATTTGGAATTATATTAAACTATAATGAAATTAGAATGACATTAAATTAGAATTAAATACATTAGAATTAAATTAGAATTAATTAAACTAGAATTAAATTAGAATGAATTTAGATTAGAATTAAATTACATTAGAATTAAATTGAATATATATATATTAGAATTAAATCAAATTAGAACTAAATTGGCATTAAGTTAAATTAGAATTAGATTAAATTAAAACTAAATTAGAATTACATTAAATTAGAATTAAATTGGAATTAGAATTAAAATAGATATAGTTAAATTAGAATTAAAATAATTTGGAGGCGATCATCGCTCTTAGGTAGGAGGCCATCATCGCTCTTAGGTAGGAGGC